GCACGGCACAAACCCTCGAACATCCACACCGGGGAGCAGCGCTGGGCAGGAAGCACCTGGACCAGCCGCAACGCAACCATGCGAGAGAAGCCGGACAGAGGGCACACGCAGCATGGCCTGTTCATAGGAAACCGCAGAAAACGCACAACTAATCCACAGTGACAGAGAGCAAGCCCGGGGAAGAGGAAGGGCCCCCCGAGGCCCCGATGGCTTCCCGGGGAACAGGTGTGCTGGTTTTGGTGGCGGCCACACAGGTCCGTGCACTGTCACAGCTCACTGAAGCACACACATGGGAAGGGCGCACCGTGCTGTGTGTCATCCACACCCCAGCAGAGCTGCTCTGTTCTGGGGGTGCGTTTTTCTGTGGGGGGGTTCACACCCCTGTGCTCCTCGGGAAGTCTTTGATCTGTGATCCAGGGGGACCTAGGAACCCTGGTTTATACTCGAGCCCCTGCGGCTGGAAGTGGACACACCTGGTGAAGGAAGACAGCTACCTGAGCCGGCATTTTCTACAACACCCTTGAGACGAGTGGCTAAGCCTCGAGCAAGCTGGCCCTCTGACGCGTCTTCCCTGCTGGGGAGCCACGGGCCCCGCACGCCAGGTCTACACGTGGTAGTCTCCTCCACCGCCGAAGCCACACAGCCTGCATTCAGCGGCCTGGCTGGGAACAGGCGCGGGGGGCTGCAGAGCCCGCTCGGGTGCACAGCGAGGCTGAGCCCCCCACCCCCCTCAGGGCCCCTCACGGCTCCCACCGCCCAGAGCCTCGGCTCGGCGCAGGTTGTCATAGCGGCTCCCACGCGAGCACCTGCTGAGGTGTGGTCAGGTGTGCTGTCATCCCCAGGCCGGCCCACGGCCCCCTGACATTTCCTGGGACCGTCCCAGCCGGCTGTCCTCTGTCCCGCCCTCTTACTCACTGTTGCACCACGGGGACACTACTGTCCATGCTGGGCCTCTCCCCGAGAGAATCTAGAATTTACTGGTACCATGAAGGTCGCCAGCTTAGCCGTGTTTAAGTGTCCATTCATGTTACTACATGGCCGTCACCACCATCTCCAGAACTTCCCATCGTCCCCACACTGACCTCTGTTGCCATGAAGCACTAATTCCCCGTTCCCCTTCCCCAGCCCCCGGCGCCCAGCATCCCCCTTTCTGTGTCTTGAAGGGGTGGGGGAGGAGAACTAGATTAGCAGAGCCCGCCACCCGCCACCCCGGGAGGGCAGAGAGAACCAGCGAGGCCCAGGTGCACTGAGCCCCAGGCCACTCCTCGCGTGCCCTGACCTGACGCTCAGGGGCGGGTGAGTCCCCACCTCGGGTCGGGGGGGGGGGTGCTGCAGCCGCTGCCAAGGACCCAGGGGCTCCCCATGGCCAGGCTGATGTGGGAGCTGGCGCCATGCTCCCTTCTTTAAGATGAGAACCCTGCGTGTGGCTGGAAGCAGCAGCTTGGAGGGGAAGACACTCCCAGAGATGAACCACAGGGAAAGGTCCAGGGTTTTCCCCCAAACGTTTTATTTAAATATTAAATTAAAAAACATACACCCACTAATCATTTGGCATACATTTCTCATGTTAACATAAGAAATAAAATAATTAAATCAGTTGTGGTAAAAAAACAGACTATATACATCTTAGATCACGTAGTGCCTATAACCAGGCGCCCAGCCTGCCCCACAGCGCTGTGGGGAAACTACCAAACACACGTCGCACACACCTGCACACGAGACGCAGAGACACAGGACTCACAGCAAGAAAGAAAATCTCCGGGAAAGTAAAGTGCTTGTCATGGTTCTGAGGCCTTTGATCTGTGGCGTTAGGACAGCGAGGAGTGGAACAAGGGAGCCAGCCGCCTTTGTGCGGGAGTCAGCCGGGCGGCCTCTGTGGACCCGGAGGCCTGCGCCCTGGCTGCCCGCTTGCCCTCCTGCCCCCAGACCCCGGCTACGAGCCGGCGGGAGGCTTTGGTGATTTCTCTGTGGCCAGGCACGAGGACAGTCCCTTCCCCGAGGCTTGCGACGGCCACAGGGGAGCAGCAGCAGCAGCGGCAGGGGCGGGGGGTGGGGGGGGGACCGGGAGCAGCAAGCTGGGCAGACGCACAGAGCCGGGCGTGCGCCCCGCGGCCTCCCTGCCCGCCAGGAGCCTGGGCAGTCTTTGGCTTCTACAAATGCCCACCTTTCCCCTGTTAATACTGTAGGTCGTAAGAGCCAAAGTGAGCTGAAGGCACCTGGGTCGGGAAAGGGTCGGGGACCGACGGGTGCGGAAGGGGTGAGGCAGCTGCTGCCGGACGGAGCGGCCACCCGCGTTCACCCGCCAGGGGAGGACGCACGTCTCCCTCCTCCACGCCGACCCAGTGCTAGCGCTTTGTAACGTTACCAGAGAGGAAAATTCAAACCAGGAACACAAAAGTGTAGTAAAAAATATAAAAAATAAGTAGTGTGTATTTGTCTATTTATATACATGTACAACGTCTGCTTTAAAAAAGGAACAAAGCTTGAACAACACTGATCTGGCCTCTCGTGTCATTCTCCTGAACGAAAGCCCACGGAGCGGGAGGCCTGGAGAAGGCAGGGCTACCCCCGGATCAGGAGCCGGCCGTGGGCAGGTGGGGTGGCCAGGCAGGGACTGTCTCCCCTGCTCCTGCCCGCCGGCCGCACCCCTGCCGTATTGCACGTCCCCCACCCCAGTCAGTTGTTCTTTTTGGACCCTGATAATGAAATGCATAAAAACTTAATTAGCAGCGGAAATAAGATGAGCAGCAGGAAGAAACCTCTCTGGGGCCCTCCAAGGCACGCGGGGGCTCTAGGCCACAGGGCCCGGGCCGGAGCCCCAGCCTCATAGTCGCCCACCCCCCTCCAGTTTCTTCCTGTGCCGCCTCTGAAGAATCCTGGAAACCCGACGCTCAAGCAGTTGATCAAAGTTCTCATCTAAAATAAGGAAAAAAACCGTCCTTGGGGCCCTGATTTCAGGGTAGAGAATTCCAGGAATTTGTAGATTACTTTCTCCTGGGCTGGCCAATAGAGCTTTTTTTTTTTAAAAAAACGGATGTGTAAAGCAGAAAGTTCACAGTTCTCACTCTGAAGTGTAAATGTTTCAGGAAGTGGAGAATTGTAACTAAAAAAAAAAAAAAATACTGAACACACACAGGCACACACACACGATGAACACGCGGCTCACGCCATGGTTTCTCCCGAGGCAATCCCTCCGCGGCCCCCACCGCCCCCGTGGCCCCCTCCCGCCACCCCCGACCGACCGACCGCAGTGGCGCTGGCCGTCCAGCCCGGCCCTGTCGCCTCTCGCCCTGCCGCCCTCTGTCCCCTTCCCGTCCACCCACCCTGACACGCCCCTCAATTATTATTTTTCTTCAGAAAGTTTCCAGGCCCTACTCAGAGTTACATTTGCTCAGTGCAAAGAAAAAATAAAACAAAAAATCAACTAAAAAGCCAAAACACCAAACGTATTGCTTGTTTCGCTTCTAGAAACTTATTGGCTTCGAGTCCGGAAACATCTTCACATACTCTGAAATTATTGCTTCGAAGGGCCGGCGGCCCGAGTGGAGGCGGAGGCTCACTGCACTAGCACGAATGTGCCCAGCTGACCCGCCGTCAGGTCCTCCAGCTCACAGTCCGCCTGCGGCAGCCCCGCACCCACAAAGCTGGGGGGCAGCGTGGCGGCGGGATGGGGGGCTGTGGCGTGGCTGATGTGCAGGTGGGTGTCCAGCAGCTGGGCCGCCGAGGCCACCGGGGAGCCCCCGGCTTGCAGGAGGTGGGGTGGCAGCAGCGGGCCGGGCCCCAGCCCCAGCTCCTTCTGGAGTCCCGACACGAGGAGCGCGCCGTCACACGGGGTGAGGACCAGCGGGGCCGGGGGCAGCTGGGGGGCCTGCGGACAGCTGGGGGGGCCTGCCGGGTGGTGCTGCAGCTGGAGCAACCTGGAGGGGCGCGAGGGGGCGGGGAGGGAGACCCGGTCACTGCCGCCCTGCCCGCTGCGCCTCCCAGCAAGTTCCGCTGCCCGGCCAGGCGCACGCGCTACCGGGGTTCCCCGCCAATGGGCCGAAGGGCCACCCCGCGAGCCACTGGCTGGAGCTGCTCCCGACACGCAGTGCTGTGCGTGACTAATCCCCTGAGCAATTCCTGACATTTCCATTCTCTGTCTTGCTTTTGCAGCAGCTCAGAGATGCCAACCGGACGTGACATTTGTATTCACTGCCCCCTCCGTCCCCCACTTACAGGCGGGCTTCAAAGCAAGGAAACCTGACTGCTCCCCGCCTCCGCCACCATCTACAGGGAACGAGGACGGACCTCACAGCTCTCCTCACGCTGGGGGAGGTGCACTCATCTGATTACACGGACAAGGGGACGAGCTTAAGAGATAAGGTTACTTAAGAACCCCAGCTGTCCGGGCGTCCTCCCGCAGCGAGTGGGACGGGCGCAAAGCAGGCGTACCTCTGCTGGTGCAGGACCTCTTCCAGCAGGCTCCGGCCCTCCCGGCTGCTGGCCCCGCTGCCGTGCAGGCCTGGGCTCTGCGCGGGCAACTGGAAGGCGCTCAGGCCACCCCTGGAGGCTCGGCTGGAGGAGGGCTGGCACACCTGGCGAGCCAGTCCCTTGATCTTGTTCAGGCCCAGGAGCCCTTTGGTCCTCGCGTTCTTCCTCAGCTGCTGCCGGAAGGCTTTCAGCCCTGGGCGGAGGGGGGAGGTGCACAACCAGGAGGGTCAGTGGATCTCTGTCCCAAGGCTTGCTGGGGTTTGCAGACCTCGGGGAGGCGTAAGGAGGGACCCAATGCAAACATGATAGGATAGATGGCCGGCATGCCCTCCCGTGGGGGTTATGGGTACTCTCTGTCACCGGGTCACTTCTCACTACAGCCCCCTCCTGGGGCCCAGGTACGAGTCTGGACAGAGGATCCTTTGGGGAAGGAGGGTACGAGCAGTGCCTTGGGACAAAGGAGGGATCCCAGGCAGGCAGGTGGGAGCGGCCTCCTCCGAAATAGGAGCTGCTGGGCATCCAAGTGTCTCCTGGGCTTTTTGAACCCACCACCAGGAGACTGTGTGAGTGTGTCCCAGCAGACCGGGCCATCTAGAACCTGGGAGCACTGCCACTCGGCCAGGCCCAGCTAGATACTGGGGACACACCTTCTGCCCCAGGACAAAGTGATACCCTCCAGGGGCACAGGGCATCTTCTGGGAAAGGGGGAAGTGTGCACCAAAGGGGAAGTCACCTTGAGTGAGCGAGGTGTCTGACGCCCTCCGGCCTTCCTGGAAGCTGATGGGGAGCAGAGTGACCCCTCCTGGGGCCCCCTGAGCCTGCAGCACTGGGGTGGCAGACTGGGCCCCCAGAAGCGGTGAGGCCAGTCTGAGAGGGGAGCAGGTGCCCACCAGCCCCTGAGCAGCCAGGCGTCCACTGAGCCCCCCGGGGCCATCGCCCGCTGAGAAGGTCAGACAGCTGTCGGAGCTGGTGCCCTCTGAAGGGCTTGCGGCGGAGGAAGAGATGACTATACCTGTGGAAGAAGCATGCACTCTTGAGGGGAGCCCCTGACACTCCCCAAGGCCAGAAGCAGCCCCCCCGGCACCCCACAGTTCTCAATGGAAACCAGAAGTGGCAGGGACACCTTCTCCGTCCCTGGTGCAGCCTCTCCCCAGCCCACGGGTGGCCCATGTGGCCTGGAGACAGGGGCGGACAGCTGTACTGGCCTCCCCGTCCCTACCCTCAGCCGTGGTAGGGAGGGGTCCACGACGGCCAGAGGCTATCGGAGTCTGGGAGCCGCGACAGTGGCCAGCTGCCCCTGTGGCTGACTTGGGGGGCTCCCACAAGGACACACAGGGGCCTGGATGGAGGACCTGCCCTCCCAGAACCCGGGGGCAGCTAAACCCCACACTTCTGCCACTGGAGGGCAACATGCCATCTCGGGGCATCATCTGCATGGCCTCGGGGGGTCAAACAAATGACAAATCTGGACACGTGTTATCAGACGCCTGGGTCAGAGCCTCAACCATAAACCCACCGCCCCGGCCACACTCCAGGCCCCACGTCCCTGGCCCCCGGGGACACTTACACGGAGGGGCGCATGGGGAGAAGCAGGTGGAGACCTCGGCCAGCGTGTGCCTGCGGCCTGTGCTGCCGGCCAGGGGCTTCTGGGCCCCCCGCTCCTCCTCCAGGCCCGGGCCCTGCCCGACCTCCTCACTGATGGGCGCGTCCAGCAGGCCACTAGGGGAGATGGAGCGATGCCGGAACGCTCCGTTGCAGTTGGCGTCCAGGGGGAAAAGCAAGGGCTGAGGGGACAGACACAAACCGGTAACTCCGAGGGCTCGGTGGGGCTCAGGTGGGGGCCGTCACCACAGCTGGGAGAACCTCCCCCCCCGACGGCCGCCCAGCGTCGGTCACACACCTGGAGCGAGCTCAGGGGGTCACAGTCCGTGTCGGCCTGCAGGACAGACTGGCCCAAGGCCTGGGGCTGTGGGCACAGCAGGGAGGATCGGAAGGAGTCACTGGAGAGGCCTTCCTGAGGCACCTGGGGGCCGGCAGAGGACAGATACCATCAGGGAGGTGGCCCTGGGGGCAATCACAAGCAGCATCCCAAGAAAGACCCCACTGGCTTTGCTGTGGGGCTGACAGATGCCAGTCGCTCGCTGACTGGGCTCAGGACATATGCACCCTCCTCTCCAAGGCCACACTGCACAGGGTGACCAGAAGGTGTCAAGAAGCCAGACCAGGGACAGTTAAGGAACAGGCGGCCACGGGCTGGTGCCTGACCCTCAGCAGAGTGGCCAGTGCCCCCTCTGGTCCATGGCTCACACAGGATCCCCCCATGCCCAATGGGCAGGAGACATGACCTGGGGACCAGCGGGCTCAGCGTCTTACGTCCCGGGCCTGTCGGAGCAAGGGATTTCTAACAGGGGGTGGGGGGCACAATCCAAGGCGGAGCTCCGCGAAGGAGACGGCTCCCCCACCTCAAAGCCGCTGAGATCTGAGCTCCTGGGCCTCTGCGGCCGGGCCAGGCCGGGCCGGGCGGGGGGCTGAGTGTGCCGGTACTCCTTCAGCCGCTCGACGAGGAGGTAATAAATGGCGGCAAAGTGGTTGTAGCTGCTGTTCTGCAGTGACTGAGGGAGGCGGAGAGAAGCGGGGTCAGAGCGAGGCCACAGGGGGCGGGGCGGGGCGGCGGGGCGTGGGGGCGGTGCCTCGGACACTTCCCATCAAGTGGCTGAGGCTCCCAACAAGACCGTTCCCAGGGTTATTCTTGGGTGGCCGAGAATATCCCTTAGAGGAGTGGACAGCTGGCCCTTAAATGAGCCCATGTTCCCGTTTTAACTCGACTGGCTAGTGCCTGCTTTTCCTTGCAAGGAGCACCTCGCCCGGCCAAGTGCACCCAGGGCAGGGGGCGGGGGGTGGGTGCTCACCTCCACGGTCCTCTGCCGGTCGATGCCAAGGCTGTGCATGATGCCCAACACCTGCTCGTCATAGTGGCCCAGGTTGGAGTTGTAGCTGAGCGCGGAGAAGGCCGGGCAGGCCTGCCGCGGCACCGAGGGCTCGGCCTGCATCCACCTGTGCTGCCGGATCTGGGCGATGGTGATGCGCTTGGTGGGGTCCACCACCAGCATGCGGCGGATCAGTGTCTCACAGTCTGGAAGACGAGGGAGGTCCGCTGAGCCCGGAGCAGGGGCCAGCTGTGGGCGCGTCCCTCCCAACACCCGCCTGGTGCCCGCTGCAGCCCTGCTGGGGACGAGACCCCCTTCCCGAGGGCAAACAGATGAGTGACTATCCTGAAGAACACTGAGACCAGGAGCAGTGGCCTGGTGCCAAGGAGAGCCACCAATCCAGGGCTCGGCCCCCAGGAGGGACATGGTCCTGCTAACCTGCCCAGACAGAGGGCCATTTAGATTCCCCAGTGACCAGGCCAGTATCCCCAGTGCTGGGGCCGGCGGGGACCTGAGACCAGGCCCTCTGCTGGGGACAGCAGGGCCAAGGCACCGCCTGCCCCATAACTAGGGCACGGAGAAAACACCCAGTGGGTTGGGTTTCTCTTACAGGCAGCTCGTAAACACCCCACGGTAACACGGGGCTGATTCGCAGACCTGACAACACACTCAGGCACAGCCAAGCAGGCGTTTCAGGAAATAAATTCCTCTTCCCTCTCCAAAACTCTCATCCCGGATGACCCAAGAGTTCGTGCCACAGGCTGGTGGCTGACGCCGCCGGGGGAGAAGGCTGGAGGGGCCTACCTTGAGACATGAAGAAGGGGATGCGGAAGCGGCCCTCCAGCACCCGCTGCCGCAGAGCTGGCAAGTTGGGCCCATCAAAGGGGAGCGAGCCGCAGACGAGGACGTACAGCACCACGCCGAGGCTCTGCAAAGGACCACACGGCCGCAAATCAGCGCCCGTGCCCCGGGCGACTTAGCCACTCACGAGATCACTGGCGGCCGCGGGCTCCTACCCAGATGTCGAGCTGGGGGCCTTCGTACTCCTTCCCCTCAAAGACTTCCGGGGCTGCGTACGGGGGGCTCCCGCACCACGTGGACAGGGGCTCTCCTGCCTTGTAGAAATTCCCAAATCCGAAATCTGGGGGGCAAGAAAACAGACGGTGAGGTCACCATAGACACGGCAGGGCCCGGGCTACAAAGCTGTGAGCACAGGCGGCAAGCGCCCCCACGCCCACCCCCACGAGCCGGCGTGGCCCAGGCCCCCTTGCCTGCCAGCTTTATGTCCATGCTGCCGTCCAGCAGCAGGTTCTCGGTCTTGAGGTCCCGGTGCACAATGTGGTGGCTGTGGCAGTATTCCACGGCCGACAGAATCTGCCAGAACTTCTTGCGGGCTTCATTCTCGCTGAGGTGCCCGTTGGAGGTCAAATAATCTGAGGAGCGACAACACAAGGCTACAGTGTGAAAATCCCGAAGGCCGGCCATCCTCTGGGGCACAGCAAAAGAACGCTGTAGAATTTAGGATGCGCGGACCCAGATGCTGGAGGAGCGATTCCAGACAAGTTCCACCGTCTGTTTTCAACAGATATGATAGAGAGGTGTGGCTTACCAAACATTTCTCCATTTTTTGCGAACTCGGTGACAATGTAAAGCATATCCTTCGTCTCCATAACCTAAAAACACAAAGACCTAACGTTTAACCACACGGAAAGGGAACATACCAGCAGTATAAATAATCCACTTGAACCCCAGTAGATTTTTAACTTTCCCAGGAGGAGTGCATCCATTATCTTTTAAAAAGGAAAAGAAAATAAACACCTCTGCCTTAAAGGAACAAATATGGGGCTTCCTATTCAGAAAAAGAATTTAAAACAACAGAGGGGAATTCTTCACCAGCCCACCTACCGTAATGCACTAGAACCCGCCCGTCTCACAGTGTTCACCCAACTGCCTCGCGGCCCCGAGGTCTCAGACCCGGACACCAGGATGCCGGGAGAGCGCTGCTGGGGCTTTCTGCTAGAAGCCTGGGAGGCAACAGCCGAGCCAGGCCAGGGGCCAGCACCTGCTGAATAATAGATGCAGACACCCCCTACCCACCTGCCTTATTGACATGATAACTTAGGGGCTGAGAAGCGGCTCTGCCAGGTAAGCTACAACAGACTGCTCTTTGTACAGCAAACCGCTCGGCCTGTGTCAATAGCAACAGCCAAGGTCAAATACACCCGCCAGGTTCATGTACTGATCGAGAATTTTATCTTGCTTTGAAAACAATTTTTAAAAGACTTTAAAATACAGCTTATTGAGAAACAAGGTAGAATTAAAATCTGTGGTACGAAAAGAAGGAAAACCAACTCATGTCCCTGTATTTTAAAATATTTCAGAGGGACACACACAGACAATACACTGTTACAGAAACAGACTTCTTTAGGGTTCAAAATATAGTTGTTCCTTAAAAAAAAAAAAAAAAAAAAACACCATAAGGACAACTGCTTTCAGCCATAAATCTAACAAGAAAGTGAATCCAGTGTGGGTCGGCAAGAGTTTTAACTGTCCTGGCCTTCAGTGGGGGCGGCAGAGTCACAAGTGAGAAGACCACAGTTTATCCCTTTCCTCAATTCAAGAGCAAGACGGAGAAAGAACGAAGAGCCAACATGTTTTGAGTTTTAAAAATCCTCAAGGCAAGAGGGAAGTGTCTCCCCAAGGTTGTGGGTCCTGGGCAAGCTGGATGAGAATTACACACCAGGGTTGGAACGCGAGGAAGGACAGGCGCGGCTGTCCCATGAAAGCCTCTCTCGGAGCGGCTCAGCCACCCAAACACCCCCAGAAAGGACCTCGAACTCTGAGGATGCGGACAATGTGCCGTCTAACTGGGCTGCTCCACACAATGGGCCGGCAGAGGAACAGGAAGACCAGGAAGGTGCACCCTGGCTCATCCCTCCAGCCAAAAACAGGGTTCAGCCCACTCCTGTGCAAACAGGCCAGGCACATTTCTCAGGCACTGACATCAGGGACAATGAGGAAACTTCTTATCAAAGTAGCACAACTTACAGATGACACACACAGAAACAAAGCACAAACCAGAGTGGATGGTGACAGGAGCTCTGCACATAATGACTGAGTAAATGGTCATTCAGGGGGACACAAGCTCAATGACGCTGCTTCTAATTCCCTCTCCTACCACACTGTACAGCCAGCCTTGCCAACTGCCCAGACACACACGCCGTGCCATATTCATCTCAGAGTTACAGTCCTTCACGAGAATCACCAAAAGAAACTTACACCCAACACAACTGGATGGAATACTGAGCATTTGCAAAGAGCTTCTTCCGCGAGCAGACTGCACCTCATCTGCACAAGCGGGCAGCTGAATACAAGGCTGCTTCGCTGTCCTAATTAAATCAACGCTTATATTCCAAAGATATAATTTCTTAGTTTCAACACAATAACAAAAATAAAGTCACAAAACAAACCAACAGGCGGACAGGGTGAGGAATGTTCTTAACGTGGATTAAATGACAAGTTCCCTATTCTCACCATGGCAAAAGTATTTTCATCTCTCCAGTTTTGATGGAAGAGTCTAAATGGGAAGACAAATGCTCACTGCTGCCTTTGCAAAGCTAAGTTTACAAAAGCTGGTAAGAGCAGCCGGTTTTTTAAAGTTTAATAATTATCTGCCAAGGCGGAAGTGTCTCGTTTAACTAAAATCTGCCCTTCTACACGAAATGCTTGATTTGTGGCAATACATAGATCTGGTTGTTTGTTTTCATAGTAAACTAAATGTAACAACCGACCTCTACGCATCTAAAACTGGAATGAACGACAAAACTAACTCAAATTTTGATGAAGCAAATCTCAATTACGATCCAAAAGCAAGAAAATAATTGAAAATACCTCTGAAGAGCTTACAAAAATCAATTTACCCTACACAACCAACTCCCTGACTGCCACATATACCCAAAGAGGGGCAAAATTCAGAAATTGCAGACTTACTGTTGAAAATAATACACTTGCTCGGAGCAACAGCAAAAGGCAAACATGAGTCCTCACCTGATAAAGCTTTATGATGTGAGGATGATTCAGAAGCTTCATGATCTGAACCTCACGATATATTTTCTCCAAATTGCTTGAATCTAATCGAGTTTTATCGATTATTTTTATTGCAACCTACAGTTTAAAAGAAAGGATATTTTGTTTAAAAAAAAATCTTTTGTTTACACGTTATATATTTTGCAGCTTAATTTCTAAAACACTTTATGTCCCTAACAGGTCACAAAAAGTTGGGGGGGGGGGGAATAACCAGAGTAACCATCAGTAGTACTTAAAACAGTCAAAGCTAAGTCTCCTAAGTCTCCGCTGGCTCCCTTTACAGGACTCCGCTGGATCCCAAGAACTGCACTCCTGGGTTATGTGGTCATTACCCGCCCTGCCCTCCCCTAATATTTGTATGAATTATTCAGAATCATAATATAAGCGTTTTCTCTTCACGGAACTAAAAGCTGTCAGCGCTGAGACATCACATGATGAACCTTAAGGACAGGGATTCGGCCCAGCAGCCCCCAGGATGGGTCCCCCCAGAACGGGCCGGGTGGCCGCCCCACGCACCTGGGTTTTGGTGACTCGATGCCGGGCCAGCTTCACCACGGCGAAATTGCCCTTGCCCAGGGTCCGCTCGACGTCGTAGAAGCCCACCCGGAGGGGCTTCTGTTGGCCCTGGCTAGAGCCCACGGGGGCCGCGCTCAACTCGGACATGATCACCATGGCTCCGCGCCGCACCTGCGGGCCGCGGGGAGAGCGCTCAGCGCCGGACCGACCCGACCCAGCCCGGCCCCCGGGGGGCGCGGCTCCGCTCCCCACCGCCCCCACGCTCTGCTCCAGTCCAACCTCCTCACCCCGCCCGGCGCGTGCCCGCTCCCACGGCCGCCCCGCCGCCCGGGGCCGCTCCACTCGGGTCCCCAAAACCCTCAGCCCTGCGGGGCGCCTGGACCCGCTCCACCGCGCCGTCCGCGGCCGGCTCCAACCCAACCGCGGATCCCCCAGCCCCGGGGGCGCGTGGGCCCGCTCCCACTCTCACCGCCCCCTGCCGGTGCTCGGCTCCATCCCGACCCCCGAGCCCCGCGGGGCTCCTGGACCCACTCCCACCCCGCCCCCGGGACCCCCAGCCCCCCCGGGCGCCGCGCCCCCCCCCCCCCGCCGCCCGCGGTCAGATCCATCCCGAACACCGATCCCCCAGCCCCGAGGGGCTCCTGGACCCACTCCCACCCCGCCGCCCGGACCCCCAGCCCAGCGGGGCGCTGGGACGCGCTCCCACACCTTCCCCGCCCCACCGCCCACGGTCGGCTCCGTCCCCACTCCCAGCTCCTCCGGGCGCGTGGACCCGCTCCCGCACCGCCCCCTACCCCGCCGCCGGCGCCCGGCTCCAGCCCGACCCGCGATCCCGCAGGGCGCCTGGACACACTCCTACCGCGCCGCCCGAGGTCGGTTCCATCTCGACCCCCAGACCCTTTTAGCCCCGCGGGGCTTGTAACCCGCTCCCACGCCGCCCCCCGCCCCGCCGCCCGCGGTCGGCTCCATCCCGACCCCCAGACCCTATTAGGCCTGCGGGTCTGGTAATCCGCTCCAACACCGCCCCTCTCCACGCCGCCCGCTGTCCGCCCCATCCCGACCTCCGGACCGCGAGCCCCGCGGGGCTGGTAACCCGCTCCCGCGCCTCCCCCCGCCCGCCCCACAACAAAGGGGAGCCCGGCGGCGAGGCGAGCGGCGTCCCGGTCCGCGACCCCCGCGCGCTCGCCCCCGGGCCCCGGAGCCCGGCGCGGCAGTCGGAAACCGGAGCCCCGGCCCGGCCGCCCGGAGCCCAGAGGCAGCCACCCCGGCCTCGCCGCCGCCTCACCTCCGCCGCCCTCCGAGCGCCGAGGCAGGGCCGCCGCTCGCCCCGCGGTCCCCGCCGCCCGCTCGGCCGCTCGCGCTGTTCGGGCGCCTGCTGCTCGGGCGCCTGCTGCTCTGGCCGCCGCCGCCGCCGCCGCCGCCGCCGCCGCCGCCCG